AATTTAACATTTGTTACATTTGAATGTTTTCATTCCATCTGCAAAATGTGACATTACTTTCTAAACCTAATATATAAATATATCTGAGATCTAGAATATGATGACGTATAATTCAAGTGACAAAAAATAGAGGATTACCAAAGAAAATACATTTCTACTTTTCAATAAGTGTACAGTCCAAAATATTCTTCTCCATAATGTATAAACACTTTCACCACCACAAAGCAAATAATCTGATTGAACTAACAAATGTTTATTGTGCATGGATTCCTATATAATGGTAATATCAGCCATTTCCTTATAAGAAAACATTCAGCATCCATTAACCGAGCTGCCAGTGCTACTTTCAGTTGAAATTTTTAAAATCTTTATTTTAAAGCAATTTTTCATGAAAATATATTTCCCAAGTTCAGTTATTGTACATTCCAGTATTCATGGGATCTTCTTTTTTCCTATATTTTTGTTTGAAGTAGTGTGGAACATCAACATCTTGATTATATGGCTAGGTAGAACTAAATAAAACAAAAGGTTCCTTGTCTTTAATGAAATAATTCACTCTACTATTACTACCCCCACAGGATGTCAGAAAGAGAGAGAGGTTGACAATAGCTCTAACACGTCCAAAGGTGAACTGGAACTGTACAAAGGAGGGCTTGCTGAAGTTCACTTACGTCAAATTGGTTTATAATAGTTTTCCTCTGTTAGATTAAATTTTCCCAAAATCTTTTATGATTTGACTCAACTAGTCTTTACTTACCTTGTTTTACATATGAAATGTACAAATGGCTTCCATTGCTAAGTCTAGCACCATTCAGCTTGTTGCAGACCTGTACTGCTTCTTCCACCTGGAGGTAGTAGACAAAAAGAATATGGTCTTTTGGGTAACATGATGATGTTCTCAATACTGGCATCTTGGCTAAAAATCTGTTCAAGCTCTTCACGGCAAACTCCAGTGTCAAGTCCTCCATTAAAAACACAAAGGATCTACAAAGCAACAATATTCACATTTATTTTCTATGATTTTCAGAAGAATAATTATCACTGCAAGTAATGTTTTGATTACTAAATACATTCTTTTTTTCTGTTGTTACCACATTTCAGTCAATTCACTCCTTGGGTGTATGGATGTGCAGGTGGTGTAATCGTTAGCAGTTCAGAATGAGAAATCAGCAAGCTAAGTTCAAATTGTAGTTGCGTTTGTTACATTCACTTTTGCACAAATACTTTTGGGAATAGTATGAATCCATCTTTTCTCCCCATGTTATAGGTTAAATAGCAGAGCAGACAGGGCTCTTCAACCATGGTTGGGAACCAGTCTAGGAGAAAGACAACACTGAATTCAAAACTGATTGGGTATAGGGCTAGTAACTCCATCCCATAAAAAACCTACTTGCTACAGAAACCACAGCAGCAGTGCTTAACTTGTTAAGAGATGTGACCCCATACTTCTCAGTGCTGTCTACAGGACTTGAAAGAGAATCCTCAGGTATATAAAGACAAATGAAAACAGAAGGGTTTTTTTCAAAACATGTTAGCAAACAGAAAAGAATGATGACAAGTCTAATAATTAGATCTGTCCATTCCCTGTAGCAAATGCAGTACAAGTGATTCTATTCTCAATAAACCATGTAACAGGGGTGATTCCATGTTTCTATTTTCTAAATTCTGCAATTCCTTCATTGTTAAAAAAAAAAAAAAAAATCTACACTTACCTAGTTTTACACATTTTCCTTCAATTTTTCAACTCACAACCAATGCTCCTTATTAGCTGAACCTTATCCAAGAAAGGACAATGTAATCCCTCCACCCTTCAGATATGATTTCTATACCTGACTTATTCATAAAGTGTGATACAAGTACACAACCAATTTTCTAGAACCCTTAGTTTCAGAGCCGTGCTGGATTATCCACTTTGCCAGACCAACTTAAATAACATAATAACAATTTGATAATACACATGTGACCACTATTTATGCATCTCTCATATCTCTACAGCATCATTGACTGTTAAAACTTATATTAAACAATTAAGTGATTATACACAACTTGTTGGGCACCTGGTACATTAGTTTGGCAATTGTATGAAATTCAAAGGCTTGTTTGCAATTTTGAATGGATTAAGAAGTCTTGGGGTCATATATTACTGGAAAATTAGTAGTGTATATGTGTAATTTTATTTATCCCATTTCTTATGAGAAGCCAACTTGAATAAGAAGGTTACGTGTGGTTGTGCTACTGAAAACCACTTTTTTTATTATATTATAATATCCATAATTGCACACATGAGTTCAATAGTCCAAAGAGCTCTTGTAATATTCACATTTATTTTTAATTATCTTCTCTTTATAACAATAAAATAAGATATCAATTTAGCATAACCGTTGATAATAATTAGGATAAGAGATTATAAGGTCTCTAGGTTCAATCCCCAGTAAATGAATGAAATTAAATAATTTTAATTGATGACATACACAGTAATATATAAACAGAAAAATAAATTGAAATTAAGAATATGTGTTCATAAAAAGTATTTTTTAAATTTGGAATCATTGTAAAAAGGATCAAATTCAGGCTCAAAACCTTTGGATCATCTTTGTTGTTTATAAGTCTGGTAACATAAATCCAAATATTATGGCATTCATAAAAAAAAATATCATTTTTAGGGGAAATTTATTTTTAAACTAACATATATCCATAATTAAATATAACCTTCAATCATGAAATAATAAGATCAAATTAAATTACATGTGTTAATTGATTACATATTACACAATCTTCAAAGCTTTCTCAAACCCAAAACTATAACTATATCACCAGGACCTGATGATTCTCTATTCCTCTATCACTGTATCTTTAACATCCCAATCAGAATAGTTTGTGCCTCATAGCACCAAATATGTCATTATCAATTTCAGTAGTTTAACATCCAATACTTCAACTCATCATTTACTGGTCATTATATTATCTTCTTCAATCTTTTCATGTACAATTCATATATCAGCCTGCATGGTTGTCATGGTCTCTACACTAAAGTAACATTAACATTTATATTTAGCAACATTGTTTTCAAGTTCCTTTGATACCAGGATCTAGTAATTGTATTTCATAAACATATTCATCTCATGGCTTTCTACAATCTGAAAGCAGAACTGTGTGTACAAAAGACAGTAAGCATATAACATACAAATTTTTTCTCATTTAAGGATATGAAATAGCACCAATTTTCTTATCAGAGTGTAAATCAGAAAGAGTCTGATTTAGTTATATGTATATGTAGTTTCTGGTTTACATTTCATGCCTTTACACTTCCCATTGTCAATAAAAAAAACACAATTTGAAATGGCATGGGAATTAAAATTTCTACCTAATAAATTGCTAATGTTACAATTCACTCTTTAAATTTATTCTTTTCATGTCAACGTAATCTACCGTTCCTTCTTTCTTTAAATTTAATAAATAAAAAAACGAAGGATTTGTGGACATAACGTTCATATGGACTATTGTCATTGACCACCTTAAATTTTGTAAAAAGTATTTTTGATACACCATATATATATATATATATATATATATATATATATATATATTTATTAATCGAATTCAGCCCATGCAAGATAGAACAGCCACTATGATACAAGGAGTTACAGCATGTGAAAATATTAGCAAACAGAAACATTAAGGAGCAAAATCAATAGAAGAGTAATCAGCGAGACAGTAAATAACGATTCACATTGCATTTAAATTTTTGGGGATCAAACTTGGCTGTAAATTATGGAGCTGGAAAAAAGTTGCATAAGCGAGAATTGCAAGAAAAGAAACTCTAAGTAGAACTTACGGTTACATGTAGCCAATTCAGCTGTAAATCTATTGCTCCGCTTAAATTCATCAATTCTATGTACCAGCGAAGAGCTAAATCTAATAATTACAATGGAAGTATTTATAGAAAGGGAACAGAGAAGCAACTTTACAAAATTTGGAAAGCAACTGGAACCGAGACGCCAGGTGATGACCAATAGTATTGCAGATTCTTCTTTGGCTTTTATCAAGGATCTCTAAATATATAGTGGGAGTACCAGACTATATGTGGCAGCAATATTCAAAGCATAGACAAATGACAGATTTATAGATATGCAAAGTGGATTTTGTAGTGAAAAATTGTTTAGCATGATACAGTGAATCAACATTCTTTGCAGCAGACCTAGCAATGTATTCAATATAATCTTTCCACTACATATCAGCCAATAATATTAGCCTGAGAAGGAGCAATGGTCACTTTTCTGGAGGTTAGCATCAGCCATGCTCACAGAAGGAAGAAAATGGTTTCTCAGATGATTAATAGAGAGCACATTTTTTTGAATATATGTGTGTGTGTGTGTGTTTTGCGTGTGTGTGTGAGAGGGAGAGGAAAATTATCATATCGATGCATTGGATATAAATTTTTTCTAAATCAAATATATTCATCAACGTACGTAGAAACTGCCTATTTTACAACGACGCGAAAGCAGCTTGCGATATCAAACAGGCGACAACATAATCATCGACTTTTCGATGCGTGTGCTTACGGAGCCTTTAATTAAGCGTTGAAATCTTGGTTTTTCACTCAAACCACTACATGAGTCGAAAGAAAACCCAGTACAGTTGCGCCCACTGAGCAAGCTAAAATGGCAAAATATTTATGCGGGAGTAATGCTGCAATCGTATTTTCATCCGAAAATAGCATTTATTCTTGCCTATTCCTTGTTGCGGAAATGTTTTACAACTTAGAAAGCGAGGAAGGAATGGATAATTTATTTCGTTATAGGTAAGTGCAAGGAGAGTGCTTCGTGGAGTGAGACAAAACGAGAAAATAAGATAACGTAATCGAGTAATCGTGAATACTGTCGCCGGAGGAGGTGCTTAATTGGTATATTAGTGGCGATTCAACAAATAGAATAAGAAGATAGAGTTTCAGTCCTAACTATTGTTCCCACATTTTTTTTTCTCTTAATAAAACGAAATTTATGAATGCAGCAATCTATCCTATCTATCGGCGTCTCCATCACGTAACTCAAAACGACATGATTGTAAATATAGCAGAGAAAAAGAGATCACTGCTTTCTTCCTCACAGCAATGGACTCTCTGCTCAATGTCTTTTAGAAAAGAATGGTTGCCTGTTTCTATTGCGATTCAGTTTGAAGTGATTAGGTTGGCATTTATAAATCTCAGCTTAGTCTGGCAAAAGGCCATGAACTTAAATGATCAAGTGAGGATTGACTAACTAGTGGAATTGGCATGCTGATCATCGTTCTAATAATCCTATAGTAGGGGCCCTACTGGGTTGCTAGTGTATACGTCAAATAAGAACGAGCACACAATTCGAACCTTTATGTTTTATTTAGTACTTGATGACAATAGATGTAAAACATGACAGGCAGATTGAAGTTCGACACATGACATGTGATGATGCGTGACCGCCATCTTGAAATTCCTTTTTTTTTCTCTGTTGACCTAGAGGGTTCTGATCAAGGGGCATGAGTTAACTCCCTTGTTATGACTTTCGTCCTAATAGGGCCTTACCGCAACGGTGAAGTTGGGACATTAACTCTCAAAACGGTTGCATATTTTGAATGTCTGTTGGTACTCAAGATAACTCCTGACCCCAAGTGGAACTCATACATACGATTCATAGTTGAAGAAGCTGGAAAAATGGAGGATCATTCTACTGCTCAAAAAAAGTAACCATTTTCGTCACCCAAGATTTATCCATTCAAGGGTCAGATTAGAATAAGAAACGAAAACAATTAAGTATAATTGTAGCACCTATTGGAGCTGTTCAGTCCTCATTTTTCAGCCTTGATTGATTTTAAAATTCTTACGCGATTTATTCAGCACTCTCCCGCCTTTTTCATGCAGAGGTAACGTGGCAAGCCTCTCTAGTGCCACTATTTTAGGTGTACAACACGTCATGGAATTCGCTGTAAGTTATCCAAATTAAAAAGAAAGTTGCACTTAGTTTTTTTCAAATTGCAGATAAGTTGTTGAACGGACTCCCACATAGATGCTTTCCTGAACACTACCATTTTAACCTTTTCATGTCAAGAATCAATCTGTATAATCCTCCTTATCCTCATAATCATCACTTCCTATATTTTTTTCTTTCATTCATATGAATCACAGCATTCATCATAATTATCTTAACAGTGACCTTGAGTGGCTTTCGAGAAATGTATTAGTTGAAATTTAGTATAAAATCTGTTTAAATGGAGACGTTCTAAAAATATTTTGCATATATCCCACAAGATAAAAAAAAACACTATTCCTAATAAAATAGTGTATTATATATAGATATATATATTAAGAAAATAAATAAGATACCTTTCTCTATATGTGATAGTATATTGACGTTTGTATAAAAACAAAATACACGTAAATATATTCAGTTAAAGCATTATAAATTGCATCAGCTTCAGTGACTTGAAATTGATTCCAGCAGTCATAAATATTCATCAGGTTAGCGCAAGTCAGGCAAGTTCATGAACGTGAGGTTATGTAATTCAATGCCTAAAAAACGTAAGGAAATATATATATATATATATATATATATATATATATATATATATATATATGTCTATGTGTGTGTGTGTGTGTGTATGCAGATTAGTATTTACATTATTTTAGATAGGGTTTGATCTATGTTATATGTTTTGAATAATATGAGTTTATAGATTTAACCGTCTTCTTTTAAATTTTTTAGAATTTTCTGGTCGTGTATCTCGGCTTGTGATAGTAGTAATTCTTCTTGCTTGACTTTTTCACTAACCTGATGAATATTCATGAGCAATCCTATACCCCGCGAAAAAATAAATGAAAAACCAATAACATTTTTGCTCTTGTACATACTTGACACAAAATAACATCCTTGCATCATTTGCCTTGATAAAGTGCCTCAGAGACCGAAACGCATCGGCTAAGATAAGTTTTCCTTTCGTAAGTATTCAAACTGTTCTTTTACAATACTCAGAAATTTTTCTTAATTCTGATACAATCATATTTCAGATAGAGTATTGTAAAATGACAATTTGAATACTTACAAAAGGGAAACTTATCTTAACCGACACGTTTTATCCTCTAAGAGACTTATATATATATATATATATATATATATATATGAACCGGGATGCCTAGAGTTCACACCAGCATGCTCGGTCGCTATAGCACACAAGATCCACTATTTCCAGCTATACCAGCATTACAACTCTAGTCATAACAGGGGCTTATGTGCTACTGCCAGTAACAAATATGAGTGCGTCCTCGAAGGAGCTAAGTTCCTGTTTGCCGAAAGAACGAATCACCACATAACCTCTAAATATTTTGTCTCTCGGGATTCCTGGTGCCTTTGTAATAAGGTAGTAAATAGGTGAAAGTTCTGTATCCCTACCTCTTCAGTTGAGGTGTTAACATCTTCTGCTGATAAAGCTGAATGCTTAGCCCGTAAATTCTCCACAAACACTACTCTTGACTCTTCTTCTCTTGCCTCTGCCTAACTTATAACTGAGTCTCTGTTGAGTGATATGCATATAACTCTTGCCTTGTGTTCTGCTATCATATATAACCTGGATCTCCAAAAAGCATGTGGAACCGATGGTATCTCTGTAATAGTCATTAAGAAGTGTGATCCCGAACTGGCTCCTGTTCTCTCTAAACTTCATAATAAATGCCTTGCTGTTTCCTGCTCTCTTGCCTGCTGGACGTCATAGTCTGTTTTTTCCAGTTTTAAGTAACTAGTAAACCGCTGACTCACCTAGCTATCGGCCTATTTGCCTTCTATCCCTTTTTGGGAAGCTTCTATTGGCCCTAATAAATGCTGAATTGGTTCATCATCTCTCATCGCAGGGCCTTTTCTCAAACAAGCAATACGGCTTTGGTTTTTCCAGATCAATTGCTGATATACTAACGATAAATATGGAAAATGTCTATCATGCTCTCTCTCAGAACGGTGAAGTCCGGGCTGTAGCACTGGGCATATCAAAAGCCGTTGACAGAGTCTGGCATTCAAGTCTTCTCCACAAGCTGAAAAGTTATGGTACCTTCGGACACATTTTTGGCAGTTCCTATCAAATCGTGAAATGAAAGTTGTCCCGAAAGGCCACTCGTCTACATTCTTTTATACTAATGCTTGTGTCCCCAAGGGCTTCAGCCTTGGTCCTACGCTGTTTTTAATCTTCATTAACGACCTTATCGATGAGATGAGCTCTCAACTTGGCATCTAAGCTGACGACATTACCATTTACTCCTGCCTCAAATGTAAGGCTGATCAGTCCGACAAGGTCAAAATGGAAGCGGGTTCCCAAAACGACCACAAGACAATCGTTAACTGGGGAAAATGATGGCTTTTCAATTTTAACGCCTCCAAAACTGAACTTCTGTCCATTAATCATCTGAGAGACCCCACATTGCCTTCCATCAGCATGGCTGATGCTGACCTCCAGGAAAGTGTTTCATTGCGCCTTCTCAGGCTAACGTTCTCAGCCTACATCGAAAGACTATATTGAGTCTATTGTTAGGTCAGTTGCTAAGAAAGTGGGTTCACTGTGCCGGGAGAGACAATTTTTCTCTCCGAAATCTATCTTGCATATCTATAAGTCTACCTTTCGCTCATCCTTAGAATATTGCTGCCATATATAGTCCAGTTCCCCTGCTGTTTACCTGGAGATCCTTGACAAGATCCGAAGAAGAAACAGCGATATTATTGGTCCTGATCTGGCGACTCGGCTTCAGTCACTTCCCCACCGCCGTGAGGTTGACTCTGTGCCTTTTTTTTTTATAAACACTTTCATGGTAATTGTACAGATGTGCTCTTGGCTATGGTACCTACACAGTATGAATTTAAGCGCAATACAAAACTGGCAGTGATATTTACAGTTGAGCGAGCTAGATGTAGCCTTAACTTCTGAGGATGACAATTTCTTTTTTCGCACCTCTCGTTTGTGAAACTCCCTCCCGTCTCCATGCTTTCCAGCTAATTTTAATCTGCAAAAGTTTAAATGCAGTGTTAATTGCTATCTGTCCTCCTGATTTCTCGTATCTCTTCCTACTCATTACTAATGTTTCTCCTAATTCCTTCACATACTGTAACTCCTTGCTTTGCTAGAGGTTGTACTGCCTTTACTTAGGGTGATATATATATATATATATATATATATATATATATATATATATAATTATTATTATAAGAAATATTCTCAAACCAGGATACCCAGAAAAATGTCAGAGAACACGCTATGAACTTTACACATCGCCTCTTCCATGAGTTGGATTTCTGGTAACTTCTGTCTGTCCATATATAAAGTGCCAGTTTACTTTCAGCATTCACTCTCACCCATCTTCCACAACTATCTCCAAAATATTCAATGTTTTTGAACTCGGGTACTACATGGAGGTGCCAGGAATTACTCTCACATATAGCTGCCAGAAATACCACCCACGTAATGGTTTGACATTAGGGGCAATGGTTTCTTCTTCTGGCTAATATCTCACTTATTATGTGTTTCTGCCATACCCTGTATAACACGGGATATCTTTTGAGCAGGTACGTCTACACAATCGGACATGACGAAAATTCCTGTCGCGGTAAAGAAAAGTTTGAGAAAACCTGCATCACATGATTTGCAGGTTGTACTCAACACTGCTGAATTTTTATGCACGTTTAAAATCTGTCATGACCTTCATTGGCGATTATGGCTTTTTGCAGATTTTTTTCTTAATTATCGATGGGTTGCCATGGCTTTTTGGTAAATATACTAGACTAGATTCCCGTTGATGCCTTTCTGTTTTTGTATTCCGATTTCTTCTCGACTAGCCTCCATGCAAGGCCGGACGGTCCAGCCTACCTTGATAATTAAAACAATAGAAAGAGGATAAGTGTTGGATTGATATCTTTGTCAAAAGCAGTTGTGCGAAAGTGAACGCATCGGGCTTAGCCGGAATTTAAACACGGCTTACCGCATCTCCTTTCTGCTATCCACGCACTGCGTCCGTTATCAGCCTCGAAAGGACCATTCTTCATCACGTGTGCAGATTCGAAATAATTAATGTTTCCTTTTTTTCAGTAGAATTATAGAGATGAGAAATTTTCATTATTATATGTTTTGTTATTAAGAGCAGCGTACTGCTGTGTATAATCGAAATAAAAACGGAAATGATCCCAGAAGGCGCTGTCAACACTGACAGCATTCCTGTAAATCTAACCCTGGCCCCATATGCAATGCTCTATATTCATTTCGATCTTGATGGTACAGCCGAGAGTGATGTGTTCTGGGCAGCTTCTGGCCTCCATTTATCATCACTCAACCCGGTGCTCTGGAGAGGCCATTCCATGTCTCACCACCAAAGGACTCACCCAACAAGGCGCTTCCTTTATCTTGCGCGATAGAAGGGCGCCAACTACAACTCACGACGTTTCCGTTGTTGTAACTTCTGTTCTTCAGGTTTTTGTTCTCTGCTCTCGTACTCAGAAACAGTTTCAAGCAAATGCTATTCAATGCACAGTCTCATTCAACTTTGTGTCGTTTGTTCGTTTCTCATACTAAAATAGAATAAACAATTTTAAAGTACTTCCACGTCCAGGGATTGAACTTACAACTCTCAGAGAACCAGATATATTTTGAGAAGCTCTTTAATGCCCCAGACTATCCTTTTATTGACAACTGAAGATAGACACCTGACGAAGTTCGAAGGATATAATGGCTGAAACGTTGTGTGCATAATAACCAAGATGCGCATTATGTTCCGGATGGCAAAGCATATAATTTAGAAATTAAGTGTAGAATAGATCTTGTGACCATTTTAAACATTCCCAAACAGAATGGACAATTCACAAAATGAAGGAATTTTAGACTCATGTTAACCATGTCCCTTCAAGATGTAGGATATCAAAAATAGAATTCGCATTGACAGCACAGCTAATTTTTTTCAGTTCAAATTTTGCATTCAGCACATGCTAAAATACTGAACACTAATTTAATCTCTTGTCTAATAGGATCATCATCATTTGGACAACTGTAATCCCATTATGGTGACTCTTAATCCATAATGTAACTTGTCTTTCACGAATGCCTGAAATGATGTTAATGCCCAAAGGCCCATCGCCGTTAAATGGAAATGTTTTTTAATGAGACACCCTGTGTGTTCCTGAGAGCATCACCTGCAACTTTATATTAAGGATCAATTTGTAATTAAAACAAATTACCAAGACTTTTTGCGATCGCCATTGTTACACTGATGATCTGTTTTATGCATAACAAAAAATAAACAGTGAAAAACATGATTTTCTTAAAAAAATATATTTAATACGCTATTAACTGAAAATATTTGGACTGGTCCCACTTATATTTCAAGATGATTTATAGTTTTATTTCCTTTGAAGGAGAAAGTGCCAAAAATCGTGAGGGCGGATATGTCAAGTTCAGAGTGAACCTTTTTGTTTAATCTGCAACTGTTAATTAGTTTTGGGCTCGCAGTTACGAAAAGAAAACTGTACACGCGTTTTACGCAAGTAGGAAGCCGTTTTAAGAAAACCATAAAAACATTATATCTGATCAAATTTTAAAAGGTGTGATGTAAAGCCTCGTATTCGAGGTATGATTGCATTATCTGTATATCTCCAATGCTACATTTAGTGCTTTGAAACTTTGTCTTATATAAATAATTCAGTTTTTGTTTATAAACGTTATTTTTGAAAAAAAAAAAAACTTAGTACAATAACATTTTATTCAATTATATATTCACCATTCTAAGAAAACTATACCTCCGGAAAATTGGAAAATAAATTGACGAAGCCAAACAGTATAGACAACGTGGGTTGACTAAAAAGTCCATAGGCTGACTATGATAGAGTGATGCTAGAGCTGTGAAATACTACACACAACTCTTTTTTATTAATGACTGCATTGATTATCTCAAACTAAACTAATATCTGACTGTTAAATAACGTCATCATCATTTTGATACTGGTTTTTAGCCCAAAAAATATATGTTGGGGAACTGATGATAGTCAAACCAGGAGAACATGGAAGATGATCAACCGGTCCAAAACCATAGTCATGCACATCAGCCATTGAAATCAAGGACTTGTGTGCTGGAGCATTGCCCTGATCAAACAAGTCACCATTCTTGAGTTTTCATGGGAGTTTGGTGTTGGTAGCTTTTCGTCACTGACTCTCCAATTTTGCATTGTGCTCTCCATTGGTGGTGTGGCATCTTGAACATTGTCAAAAACACAATGTCTTCTGTGTCCCAAAAGACCTGCAGATAAAACGATCTTTGGAGATTATAAGGTGTTTCCACTGCATAGATTGTGTCCGGCCGAAAATGATGAACACAACACTGATCCTCGGTAAGGAAACGTTCAAGGAATCCAGCTGGATCAGTCTTAGACTCTCAGGTTTTCCCGTCTTGGGATCAGGTTTCAAAAAACGTGAAACCTACCAAGCAGAAATCTTCGTCATGTCAAGTTCATTATGCAGAATATTCCCTACACTTTCACGGGATTTGCTAATAGCACTGACTATTTGATTTCTAGTCAATCTCCTGTTATCCATCACCATATCGTGAATACAATAAACGTTTTCCTCGGCGGTGGCAGTTACAGGACGTTCTAACACTGAATTTTCTTAAAGGCTCTCCCTTCGTCTCCTAATTCAGATGCCAACTTTTGTACTGTTGTTAAAACCGAAGAATGATCCTCTAATGTAGCAACCATGTCAGCATGAATGACCTTGACGACTAAATCCTCTTTCGGCAGGTATATGATAACACGATGTCAGATTTTGTCCATTTTCAAGAGAAGTCACTATTAGTTAAATTTGAAGTATTCTTTGAACAGTCAGATGTCAGTTTACTGGGAAAGAACCAATGCTGTTATTAATAAAAAGAGATGAATTTAAGGTATACAAGGTTTCAAATCTCTAGTATCATTACTTCCCAGACAGCCTATAAACTTTGCCGATCACCCTCGTATTGTTTGAGTCGTGGTGAAAGGCGAAATATGTGATAACATCATAGAAATTAAACCAAAACTGAAGAAATACCCTGTTCCTCAAAACTATTCCAGGCACATTTAACACTTGACCAAACTAAGTTGAAATTTCCAGTGGGAACAGAACATACCGCAATTTACATCCAGTCATTACACAATTGGTGTCCAAACATAGACGTTTATAAACAAGGCATAATGACAGAGAGAAATAATATATAAGTTTTCGATGTAATCCAGCATATTTCGTGTGGGGACGAAATACGGTAAATGTTGGTTACATTTTCCCATCAAGAAACATCCATGATACAAGAACGCTTAAGTTTAATTTTTTTTATTTTCTCCGCGTATAACTGTAACCGGCCTTCGTAGTATTTCGTCTCCCTCCCTATATATAAAAATCCCTTTATTGAAACGATTACTGAAGAAGCTCTTTCGAAGGACGAAACACCTGACATACAATTAGTCTGATAATTATAATTGTTTGTTATTTATATATATATATATATATATATATATATATATATATATATATATATATATATATAGTCATTCACAGACAGACTGTTTCGCTGAATCACAGCCCATCAGTGTTTTAGACAATTAATCGCTTTAGGGCCGGGAAAGAAACCTGACCGATTTGGTATCATTCGGAGATTCTAACCCCAAGGTCATCGGCAGAGAAAAATCCGATTTTTTGCCATTTGTATATTATATATATATATATATATATATATATATATATATATATATATATATATATATATATATAGCTAAAGAAAAGCAGATTTAAAAACAGGTTTTTCCTTTCCCTAGATATCCGGGGTTGACGAATGGCACGTACCCGAAACATATTCGTCCCTTTTTCGGCTTCTAGCTGAACCTAGTTTAACTATATCCAAACACGGAAAAGATTATTAATTTAAATCCAAACAGAAAATGCGCTTTGGATCTTATCTGTACAGTATGTTGTCTAGGAATCGCATAACCTCCATATATGTTATAGTGGAACACACCTATTCTATAGTTAATAGACTCTTCCACCTGTAATAAGTAGGAGTAGTAGCAGTCGCTAAGGGGCTCAGCGAGTTGGTCAGTCAGTCGATGTCGGACGACCGTTAGTCGGATATTAAAGTATCAACCACCACAACTAGATTGCTGCGTCATTACCTATTTATATCCAGTTCCTAACGTTTTGTACGTCGAACCTATTTAAGGACCGACTTAGTGAAATACAAGCCTCCACTGTGAAACTACTCTACAACAATATACTATAAACTTGTAGACGTTACTCCACCCTCAACACCAAAGGACTGAATTTTGACCTAACAGGACGTTACTCTCATCTCATATATATATATATATATATATATATATATATATATATATCATGTGTGTGTGTGTGTGTGCGTGTGTGTGTATTGTGTGTATTAGTGAAATGGAAGTAAAAAGGTTCAATACTTATCGAAGGTAATCTCTTTTGGTAATTTTTAATTACTCATCCTGATCCTGATGAGTGATCTAAAAATTGTTAGGTAACAAATCAGTCTATTAAGCCAAAGAGCCAGATCCTTTCGCGCGCCATGTCAAGATCTGGAACTCATGAACTCTTAATCTTGTTTCCACCAACTATGATGAATTGTGCAAGGCATGTGAAAATAATGCAGGTGAAACTGAACCTGCATATATACTGCATATATGCAGTTACAGTTTAGTTTAAATATTGTGCACTGGTGTATATGCATGAAACTGCATATTCACCAGTGAACAATATTTACGCATGGTGAACTATGCCACCTTTGAAAGGTCATTCAGAATTATCTATCGCTGTTCATATCTATCTATTTATCTATATATTCTATCTGCCCATATCTATCGATGTATATCAGTTCATATCAATGTATCTGTCTATATCAGTTAATATCTATCTATCTATCTATCTATCGGTATCTATCTATATCTGTTCCCATCTAACAATATGCTCCTATCTATATATTTATATCTGTATATTCTATCTATATCTGTTCATATCCATCTATTATATCATATCTATCGATATCTGTTCATATCTATACCATGTCTATTTTACCTATTTATGTTCATACATCTATATCATATATATCTACCCATGTACATCTGTTCATATTATGTGTCTGTCTATATCAGTCAATATCTATGTACCTATTAGTATCTATATAGCTGTTCATATCTATCATTATCTATATGTTCATATCTAACATATCCATCGATATGTGTACATATCTATATGTTAATATCTGTCATATCTATGCATATCTATCTATCTATCTATCTATATATTTTTCACATCTATCTGTCCTATATCAGTCAATATCTATATACCTACCTACCTATCCATATCTGTTCATATCTCTGTCTTCGTATCTATCAGATCATATCTGTATCCCTTCATATCTATCTATATTTATTCATATCTATCAATCCGTTAATATATCTCTATCTATATCTCTTCATATCTAACCATGTATATATTTTCATATTTATCTCTGTTCATATCTCTCTCTCTCTATCTCTTTAGATCTGCTCATATCTATCTGAATCCATTTATGCGGTATCCAAATAAATAATTATTACCATATGGGAGTATACACTCAATGCTTACACATTTAAATCCATTTATTCAAAGATATCTAAATTATATTTGAATTATTTAAAAATAAGTCTGCTATCTCATACACAAGAAAATATATTGTAAGCCATAATAGAAGTTAATGTCTAAAAATATTTAAAAAAAATATATATATATATATATATAAGGCAGACAAGTCACAGGTGCTAATGCACACATATACGATATTTATATACAAAGGTTTTAACAAACAAATACACATTAACACATACATACACACACATATATATATATATATATATGGAAACACATTTTCGTGTTTGGCGCTTTTCGCTCTTTAGTAATTCATAAAAAATATGTTTACGTTGATGTGATTATATATGCGCATGAATGAGATATTTTCTTAAAATTGTTTTTGATATATAAATATTTTTATATAATTTTCCCTACTTATATTTTATATTTACTTACGAAAACGAATAATGTCTCTGTCTATTGCAATAGATCAACTGGAAATGATATGGGCCTAATTAGAGAAGAAGATATCATACAAATGTTCTTCACTTCCACTTTTCCAATTGTAGGGTGTCTATTGAATCCTCTCTTCCTCTCTCCATAACACACATATTTGTGTATATATATATATATATATATATATATATATATATATATATATATATAAATACATGAATTATTCACACAAAACTAATGCAAAGGTTAATGATTTAAATGGCGAGACATCCATCATCGCAAACAATTCAAATAGTATACAAAAACCTCCAGATCCGTTATGAATGAATTGATCCTTGTTTATATAAATTTCTGCCGTATTAGTTGTTATTTTTACTACAAGCTTTCGTCTGTTCCTACAGACATCTTCAGGTATAGAATAGATGTTGTTTTTTTTGTTTTTTTCTCTTAGTAATAAGAGGACAACGAAAATATATGTGTTGTTGTATCCGAAAATGCTATTGAAAATGAGTTATTGGTTTTGGAACGCGCCAAAGCAACGCTGAGTTTGATTTTAAATTTTTAAAGTGTTTGCGTTTATACCAAATATGGTGATGAACAAATTTTTTTACTGGTAAATTTTACTGTCAAAGTGGCATGAACTATATTGTTCAATAATTACAGTAATGTCGCACTTATTATCCAAAAGTCGCAGTTGGATCAGTTATTTATATATATATGTATGTGTGTGTGAACTTTTCTCGTTATTTTTTAATTTTATTCCAGTAAACAGCTACATTGCAGAAGATTAATGTACATATCTATTAAATGTATATGTTATAATAAATAATGTTTTAATGCTAATATATCTAATGATTTGATGTTAATATGAATATCGTTTTTTTATCGATTGCCTGAATTGTTAAAACAATTCCACGAAATAAGGCGACACTTTCTGCATGTTAGGTTTAATAAATTAAATGGTATTTGGCATTTTGCATTCAATGAAAATATTAGACAATTCTTTTCACATATTTCATTGAAGTCTATGTTATTTTATTTCCTATACCTTCTTCAATCAATTTCTAGTGAAAGTCTTTTCGACCCGATTTTAAGTGTTAGAACATCGGATTAAACAGCATGAAGTCAATGGTTCGAATAAAGACATATAATCCTCGTTTTCAGAAGCAATCTGATAAATATGATATACTCCAAAGTATTAAAACGCCAAGTATCATTAACAGAATTATCGCATAAAACAGTTTTGATTTATATTTTTAAACAATCAACGAATTTTACGTATTATTTTCGACAGAGCGTTCTTGCCGTATCGGGATTAAGTTGAGAAATCTTAACCAAAAATATATTTTCGTGCTTGACGTAAATTCTTGCATCTCTCCTGTGTATTTGGAGTAAAAAACTATAATATTTGACCCCATCATCGTGAATTTGGCAAGAGTTCACCTTCGTTTGTTTAAAAAAGTAAAAGTAATAAAGTAACTACACGGTAATATAATGCATATGTGGGTTTTATATTATCGACCTTTGTTAATTCTTTTATTATCGTTCACGGAAATATGTTAAAAGTCGAAAACAACTGTTTTTCTTTTGTTTTTTTGTTCATTCACTGAAAATTATTGTCGAAGGTGCGCGTAGTTTTGTGGTTATTGGTGTTGAAGGTTGAATCAGTTGAGTTCATTACGATCACTTCCGCACGAATACACTCGGAAAAGGTAAGCATACGTCCATCCTTCTCCCAGCTATGGTTTAAATAACAGGGCGAACTTGCCTCTTCCCTTCATGATAAACCGTTGCATTTTCAGCGTAACTCAATTCTTTGAACGTCTATTTTGTTCTAACTTCATTCCAGAACTTAAGTTAAACTCATATATCTGATCCATTGCTAAATAATGTGAAAAAAAAAAAACAAATAAAAATATAAATAAAACGCGGGCTCATCCTATGTTTCAGAAAGAACCTGGCTCCTGTCATTCTTTATCTTTACAAGAGTCAGATTAGTCCGAAAAATTATGGGTTGGAGCTGCTCAATCCTAACTTTCCAACCATGATGGAGTTCGAAACCTTTTACGCGGTCTTGTAGAGGATGACTTATTTTCCATTTTGCAGCCTCTTTCTCAAAGACAGAATGTTGCAAGTCGATCGTTACTCTACAGCTATTCCCATGGAAAGTGTTCAAAATCGACTCCATTCTTTAGCTTCTCCAGTTAAGACGTACACAGTTAACACGGACCATGCTTTCACCACGGAATCGAATAAATCTTATTTTCTCCATATTCCAATCGTAAGGAGAAAGTTCTACTCAGAGAGCTTCTCCTCAAATACAATATAATCCTAACCTCTTCATAATGGTCAATCTTATCCATACACTCTTCACTTAGTGCCACCTCCGTTTAAATTTATATAATACACAACATTCAGTAACCCTGAACTTTGAGTGGCGCTTGTTCCTTGTATTGGGTAAATATTAGTATTAAAACAGTATTGTAAATCATGAAGATGACAGCTGTAACCATAATTATTGGCATTGTGGTATTCTTAAAAATGGTCCTTTAAACCACTGTAACTCTGTGACAACTGTGGGTTGCGATTTATAAATTTTCACTAATTAAGCCAGCAGAAGGCAAGTGTTTAAGCTCCATAAAAGAGGAACCGTTTGGCCAGCTACTGGGAGATTATACTGGGTTAGCGCTATGAGTAATGAACCCTACTTAAAACACTTCCTTTTCCCTCAATTCCTGAAAGTCTCGTTTTGAAGTTGAGGTAAACAAATAAACGGGAATGCTTTCTTAAACTTTTTCGTCGTCCGTGATTTTTTTTTTTTTTTTGCAACGGGGTCACTTATTCGATCACACTTCATTTTCTTTTTTTTTGTACCCATCACACAAGAAGCGACCTCTAAAATCCAACCAGGTGGTGGTCCAAGGCGAAGGCAACTAAAAACATCTGGTGTGAAAATAAAACTAATAATAAAAGACGTAGTCAGAGTATCGCATTGATCCTGCCTAATGTCATTCTGAACATGATAACATTTCCAAAGTACGGTTGATATTTCTGGTCGACACTATTAACCCTTTAAGTGCTAACCAATACGCTGATCTCGATAAATTCTGATGGTGGGTGGCATTGTCTGTTTTAGCACTAGGAGGCGAGAGATACTTAAGAACTTTTACGATTGGTATCACATGAACAAGTAAAAAAGAAGGTAAAACAAAAAAACGAGAAAACCTAAATCATTTAACTGCTTCAATCAGTTCACTTTGAATCCGGTAACTATTTAAAAGCAGTTTGTTCTTTCAAAGATAACGATCGCAAAGTCTGTGTGATTGCGTCCCTTATATTCGTTTCAGACTAAGTTTTATTGTCCAGTGGAGAGAAGCAGGTACGTTTGTGCTATTTGTTTTATTCATATTTTTGGTTAACAGAAGCCACAAAAAACATAAAAAAAATAAATAACAAATTACAAGATAAAAACAGCTTTTTCAAAAATCATAGATTTATTTTTAGATTGTTTTTGCTATTTTTTTTCTTTTTTTATTAAGGAATTCAGACTCGAAAAAGCAAAAAAATTACTTTCGATACATTAGTTGTTGAAAATAGTTAAAATACCGAAAAAAAAAAGCACTGGAAACAAATAAAAGGCTACAGAACAATTATGTGATATCTGATTTCCTATATGGTAGTAAAATCTCCTCAAAGATGAAGAAGTGACTTGAAGCAACAGTAATGGGGTTCTATAGAAGGATGCTGAGAATACCATCAAGCGAATATATCAGCAACGACGAAGTTTTAGATAAAATGGAAACAAAAATAAAAATTATAATTAACACCAGGAAGAGTTGAAATCACTATGGCACATAATGAACAAAAGATGGGCACCTCGGCGTGGTGCAATGGCTAGCAAGCTTGTCTCGCTAGATCAGTTACGACTGAAAAGTGGGTTCGATCCTTTCGGGCTTGTTCCACATCTAAGTCATGCTTAGAAAATAACCATAATGAGGGCTTGGAAGATCTGATACTCTTAGAGCAGATTGAAGGCAAGAGGGACAGAAGAAAACAACGCATAAAATACTTGAATAAATGGATGTCGGAACAGAGTTTAAGAGAAATAGCAAAATGTCGAAATTTATTAAACGCTACAAAGAACATGAAACATGTAGAGGGCCATGATCGCTTACATCCCAAAGGGATACGGCAAATAAAAAAGAATATTTAAAAATACAGAGGATCTGCTACCATTATAAATATAATATTTTTTTTCATATTGTCGTTTATTTTAATTAGCAAGTGATAATTCTTTTCTTACTTATATTCAGAGTTTGCATATTGAGTATAGAATATTTCTTAAAACAAATTTTAAGAAGAAAAAAAAACCCCAGAAAACAAACAAAACAAATTCAATGCACATTTATCAAAAATTTTTCCTTAGGTCAGAAATATTTAATTCCTAACTGTAGCAAATGATTAATGGCGAAAGGAAAGATGGTGGAGTAGCGATAAAGTCAGAGACACTGATATGAAATGATGATTATAAAAAAAAAATGATTCAAATTCAGTCGACTATCAACGCGTGTCCGTTTCATTTCTGCTTCTAGTGGCAGAATCAGGGAAGAAAGGACTAACCATTACTTATAAGGAAAAAATATAGTTGTTCGAAAGAGTAACAGGCAAAGGTGCGAGCTACGAATTAGAGATATTAGAATCAAACAAGTAGAGAAGTTTAAATAACAAATGACGGAAAATGTGACACCTAAATCCGAAGAATCATTATAACAGCGGAAGATGCTTTTCAAAAAAAAAGGAAAAGTATTTAGAAACAGAAAATATCGCGATAAACAAAGAAAACAGTGCTTAACTGTTATGTAATATCAGCTTTCTTGTATGGCAGTTAATGCGATACAATTTCCTCAGATGGAAAGGAGACTTCAGGTAATAGAAGTATTGCTGTACAGAAGAATGGTAAGAGTACCATAGACCAAACATGTGAGAAAAGTTTTAGGAAAATTGGGAACAAAATGTCTGCTTGTATTTAGAATTAGAAAGAGACGATTGAGAATTCTAGGATGCATTATAAGGAAAGCGGACTTGAAGAAAATGATATTCGCAAAAAGCAAAATGAGAATCAGTGAACAATCTACCTGAATAGCTCATGAAAATGGATCTCATGACAGGGAATGAGAGGGATTGTAAAAAGTCAAAGATTATCAAGAGCTACAAAGAACATGAAGCTGTGGAGAACCATTATCACCCACTTCCTGAATGGATATGAAATACAGAAGACCTGTCATACCACCTATTATAAAACAGCGAGTTTATCCCCTTAACCGGCGTAGACGTGTATATACGTTTCTACCGAAAGTGTCTGCGATCTTGATTCTTTTTATGCCCTTCTGAGTTTGATACGAGTCCAATTGTCAACTTGTACGTCGTGTAGAGGTGTTAGCCACTGCTCAGGTACTTCAAGGTACCTCATTTTCTTAGTTACCTTATTAAAAAACAAAAAAAAATTCATCTGAAAATGAAACGTTTTTCTAAGAATAATTGACGGAGAAAGGGTTAAAAATAAACTAGCTAAATTTAGTCATATACTCCAAAATATATCCTTTTCCCTGTGATATCTACTAAATCCCATCACATGGGTTGTTCCAATGTAGAAAAAAACAATAAGTCATACAGTATAAACGGATATGTGGTTAGCACTGAACCTATCTACGGAATTGGCGAGCTGGGTCTTTTGAGTGCACATTCTTACTCTTGGAAAAGGCAGGAATCTTTTTCTTTTCCCACTAATGTTAAACAACGGTTAAGATCGGGACCTCAAGCCTAAGATGGCAACGAATATAAGAGAAGGAAAACTGAATTCCAAACCGTAGAGAAGGCAACGGGAAACCACTGAACAGTCATGACAATTTATATAAAACAAAAACAAGGAATCTCAGGAAAATCACGATAGCCTACGTTTTGAAAGAACATGCAGTATAGGCTCCGGGCTTTCAATGTCTGTTGGGACTCAAGTTCATCTCAAGTGGAAGTTATATATACAATCCATTGTTTGTTACCGATCAAGATTGTACCAGACACTTCCTACCAATCTCTATCATTTCAATTCCGTCTTCCATTAGTGAGAAGGAAATTCCATCCGGATATCGTCTTTACAAGAACAGCATCACTGTATATCATTCTCCAAAGATGATGCCTACTCGATCACTACAACCTTAACCTTTTCATTTCTAAGATCAATCTATACCAACATTCACCAACCGCACTTAGGCCTTGTAGTGGGTGAATAATAGTAAATATATATATATATATAATTTGCTGCAGTTATTTTTTATGCTAGTGTCATGAAAGAATAAGACGCCAATGATATTATGACAACTTTTAATTGTTTGATAATTGCTTCATATAACTCCGAGTTGAGATATAATTATTTTTTTTAAATTTGTCTTAAAGAAGAATTTAGGAATTTGAATTGAGACTTGACAATTCAGTCAATCGTTTTAAAAGAAGAAAATTCCTGGTGTAACAAGCAAAATTTCATTTAGAAATGACATTTTACATGCAAATCGTTCCAAATTAATTTCATGAAAGGACTGGCATATTTCAGTTGAATTATTCAGCAATATTTCTTTTTTAGGGTGTGAGAATTATTTTATGCATCAGAAAATGGTGTAAATGGGCGCCCAAATCAATCATGCTCAGAATTATGGGAAATAATTTGCTATAAATGGCCGTAATTTATTGAAATCGGATGAAAATAACAACCATGCACACACACACACCAAAATAAAATCTGATCAGGTAAAAATCGATTCTTTTTCAATCTATTTTCGCTTCTCTCCGTATCCATTCTTCAAAATTACTCTCAGAGTGCCCTTCGCCGTATTTCTTTCGTTCGTGCAAGCGTATCGTTCGGATTTTTTTTCTATTTTAGGTAAGGGCTCGTTTGGCTGTGTAAGCGCCACATGCAAGTGCATTTTCTATCTTTGGAATAGACATATTAACACTTTGATAGAGGCCTGAATATTATTTAGTTATCACTTGAAAACTATTTTTGGATCAAATAAAATAAAGAAGCAAATACGCTGCTTATACGTTTTTTTTTTTTATAAAGTGACTCATCAATAAAACTATCTTTTGAAATATATTGCAATCGCATCATTATTTTTTACAATTTATTTCTGTCCCTTTTCTTCCGTTTTATCTTTAATTTTTCTTTGCCGCTTATTTTTTCTGTACATCTTCTCTTCCCCCTTGATCAATTCTTATGGACAGTCTCATTATCTTTGTCGCTTTCTTTCTCTTTATTATTTCGTACATTTCTTTTCCCTTCTGTTTTCAATTCTGTTCTTTCAAATATTTAACTTTCTTTCACTTTACTCATCTCACTTTGAAAATAATTTCCTATATTCTACAGAAATAATGCTTTGAAAATATGTTACATAATATGGGAGGTAAGGAAATTTAACCTAGAATAGGATGTGCTGTGGGCAGTATTGTTCAATATCATGTTACAAAACTAAAAAAAATATTAGGTTGGTGCAAAAATTAAGACGTAATAATGTCGTTTTTTGATGTATTTTTTAAAGTCAAAAAACGACATTATTACGTCATTATTTTTGCACCAACCTAATAACATAGAACTGGAGCTATATTCTTAAATCGCCAAATAAGCTCAAGAATTTCATATGGATATCATGCGTGGCGTCGAACCGGTCCAGAAGTGTCTAAACTCATAACTCTATACGACCACTTGAGTAGTGAGTTCGATCCTCACTGGGTGCCTCTTACTTTCGGCCTTGTGCCACGTCCAAGCTACGCTTGGAAAAATCACTATACGACCACTTGTTCAGATCCGTGATAAAAATTGTGAATGAAACCGAAGCGAGGGACATCTCTTTCGAACTTCGTGAATTGGCGCTACAGAATCACAAAAAAAAATATCAAATAACAGAAAGCATATTACTTGAGGACTTTCACCGACAGCAACAACTAAAATGTATATCACAAGTAACTCGAAGAGAAAACAATAATCTAATGAAGATGACGTTAAACTCTACTTCGAGCAAAATGTTAGGATGTAATTCCTTCATCAATAAGTTAAAAGAATAATAACCGTGGACTTTTAAATCCATTAGTCATTATTAAGATTAGCTGAAAGCGCTTGTACCCAAACATCATTTGGTTTGGTTAGTTTTGTTTTACGGCATATCAACCTCAATGGGTTATTTAATCCCGACTAGATTTTTATTGCTGGTAATATTTTTTTCAGATGTATAGCTGGTAATATTTCTTTCAAAAATGTGTTGCTGGTAATAATTTTTTACAAATAATTTCAGGTATTTAAATTTATTTGTACACTTTCATAGTGTTTTGACTCCAGTTTGGGGTTAACTATTTACCCATAGTTGGAACCCTAACAGGTGTTACTACCCTGGGTCAGGGTGGACCTGGGAACATCATCAATTAAGAGATGGTTCCACGCTCCTCAAAGCCTCCTGATCAGAGGTCTTGCTGTTAGACGTAGTTTATCGTCTTACCCAGGACGGGGATGTAGTTTATCTTCATACTCAAGGCGTAAAGATCATTTGGACATTTCTTACACACTCTATGGACAAAAATGAAATCTCTAACACGAATGCAAGAAAATATAATTAAAAAGTTAATTGCATTGTCTTGTAAGACGTTTTCAATGAAACCTGTATAGAATAGGGATTTCTGCCCAAATAAACAATAATATATACATACATATATATATATGTGTGTGTGTGTGTGTGTGTGTAGGAAATACCGAATACGTCTTCGTATGATCAAGAAAAACTGAATAGCGCTCACTCAGTAAAAACACTCCTATACTCAGATCGATATATATTTGAGTCTTAAAAGAAATAGAAAAAAAAACAACAAGCTTTTAAATAAAGTTCAAACAACTTTATACTTTATCTCTAAACTTCTTTTTATCTTTGAATTTTATTTAAGGTCTTTATTTAACATTTTTTTTTCAACCCTTGCATTTGCTAACAATAAACCATCTTTTCGACAGAAACATGGCGGAAGGCGGAGAGAACATAAACGAAAGAAAAAAAGAAATACAAAAAGAGTTAAAATAGAAATTTTAACGGGCGAATAGTTCTTTGCTATCGACAGTCCATAAAAAGTGAACACGATCTAAATTAAGCTTGCTTTATTTTAACGAAAGCCATTAGAGACTGAAATGAAATTGAAACTAAAAAACGCCATATCCGTTACAAGCGTAAAAAAATATGTATGTTGTACATATATATAAACGCGCGTGCGCACACACACACTGACCTCTTGAGAGAGTAATACTATGTTTCATAAAATTAGTTTCCAGTTCTGTAAGGATTACTGTCATATTATGTTTAAACCCCGGTTCTCTTAGGATCACAGAAGTTAAGCAATCGTTGAGACTAGTCAGTACCTAGATGGGTGTCCGATTAAGAATACAAGATGCAGCACGTCCATGTCGCTGGTGTAATGGATAACGGCCCAGAATTGGAGGCTGGAGAGCCGAATTGTAACTTCAGTTCCTTATATTCAATTACTCCCTAGAAAAGTATGAATCCACGTATATCACCCCATTTATAGGTTAATTGGTAGGACTTGTATCAGTAATAATAATTATCTCCCCCAAATTCATACAACTAAAAATATTTTCTGGGAAGTATGGTAAGTACGTGGGCGCACACAACACATACACAAATAGATACAGGGTGCGATCTATAAATTGTCGCCTAAATTATGAAAAAAATGAAAATAACATTGCCATCTCATTTTAACGCACATGCTTACGAAAATTACACAAGATATACTTGAAATACTAAATAGTAAATTTATTCAATAAAATCGTCATTGTCTTCAACCACGGCCTCAAGATGACTTCGGAATCGCCTACAACTCTTCTGATTATGTTTGTGAATGCTGCCATAATCCTTGTCCTCAGTTCATCTTTTGTGTCACAAGGATTCATCATAATCAAAGTGATTGCAGTCTGGGGAGTTAGGTGGCCAGGTGTAAGGGGTGATGTGGTCACAGAAATTGTCTGTCAATCATGACTGCGTTCTCTTATTATTTTTTGTTGCATATCCATATATATATATATATATATATATATATATATATATATATATATGTGTGTGTGTGTGTGTGTGTGTGTAATATATTGAATATATCTTATTATTATTTATATATTATATGCGCGGTACTTATTAGAAAGCGCTCAATATCAGAGCTAGAGCTAACATCGCAAAAGCGTGAAACCAAGGGTCACAAACTCACATCTATCTATCTATCTATCTCTCTATATATATATGTATTTATTCTGTTTATGCCTTAATTTTATAGGTGCAATTTAAGTAAATAAAAATAACGCATACAGAAAATATGTTTTATTTAATGTTTTTATTTAACACACACAATATATATAATATATATATATATATATATATAATGAAATGGATTGTCCGACAAAACATATCTTATCAAAGCGTCACTCCGTCGACGTTTAAGCTGACTCATACGGACGGCTAATTAGGCCCCTAGCCCAAAACTGAGGGTACCTCTTGTCCAGCTTAGAAAACAATTATAATACTGAATTAATATGAGTTCCTCAATTCATTCCATAGAACAAAACCTCACTTTAACAATGATTCTGGCTATAAGTCCAGTTCTTGACAAAAGACCAATTCGGATCAGAAGTCAAATTCAGGCCAAAAATCGAGTTCTTAAAATTACAAACTCCTTGGAACCTCACTTGAGTTGAGTTCTTCAAATCACAAACTGTGGAAATTAAAAAAAAATACTCAAGCCACTTTGATCCGTTGGCATTTTGAAGAAATAAAACTGATTTCCTCTGTTCAGAAAATTTTGGCGATTTTTAAAACACATATTTTTAAGTTCACAAAGTTTTGTTACTTTCAAATCAATAGAATTTAAAATGATTTGAAATCCTATTTTTTTTCAGTTATTCTAAAACTTATCTCAAGCTCAACCAGACCCAAATCCCAATGCTGGATATTCAAGCACAAGCAAATTATCAATCCCTGAATCCTCCTGATTCCAAAAGGTATATGTCTGTGTAGATCAAGTTAAGCGAAGATACACGGACGAGCAGACAGAATTTATTTACAAGATGAGACCAAACTAGAATTATAAGGTATCGTATATTGAACGTATAGACGAATCGAATGAAGTATACGAACCAAAAAATACCCTCCTGATAATTAAGCACGGTAACGGGAGCAATATATTTTGGGGACATTTCACTATACCTCTGGACCTAGAGAAGTAGTGAGAGTACAGGATATCATGGGTAATGAGAAGTATTGGGATATTGTTAAAAATATTATAAAACAAAATATATAAAAACTGTTTTGGGGGCGTCACTAGACATCCAAACATGACAATGATCTGAATTGTTATAAAATACTTAAATAAGATATTCTGCGCCAATATATACGCAAAGTATCACATTGAAATTTGATGGGCGTATTTGAAGAAAAAGTAGGAGACAGAAATCCTTCGAAATTACAGGAATTAGAAGCTATTGCCTGGGAAGATTGGAACAACATAGCTGCCATTATGTGTAGAGAACATGATAAAAACTATAAAAAAACGATTATAGGAAATAATAAAAAATAGCCGGTTTAAAAGGGCATATTACGTTGAAATATCGGTCCTCGTACGAACACAGAATTAAGCATCGTAGAGCCTGACCAGTACCAAGGTTAGTAACGGTTTGGGTGAGAATATCAGGTGATTTAAGCTTGGATATGCAGCTTGTGTAATGGATAAAGGCAAGTAATTGCAAATCGAAGAGCTAAGTTCCAATTCCAGTTTGTTGCATTATATTCACTTATACGATAAAACTCTTGGGAAAGGTGTTGATTCACTTCATTTGTGTCCCCATATATGGGTCACTTAGTAGGACTTGTATCAGTAAATAATTATCTCAAAAAATGTTTAAAATCTAAAAGAAATTTTCGTATTTCAACAGGTTGAAAATACATAAAAACAATTCAATGAAAGAATAAATGTTACATTGTTGATTATTGAAGCAATATTGTTGTATAATAAATTTTCGTCCAATCTTTTAAGATAATATTATTTTAATTAGAATAAAATTGTGTTGAGACCATAGCTGCATATTATTTTACATACATAATTTCATCACTTATGAAAAGATGCACAGGAAACATGCCAGTATAAGGGTTATCGGAACAGAATTTCCCCCAGGTTCCACTATACTCTAGAAAAAAAAAAAGTACATTAATTTTCTCCCTCCAGCTATAGGTTAAAGGTAGACTGGATAGTTACTCTAGGAGAATGATAATTTTCTTATCAT